TATCAAGAGAGAAACATAATGCCTGATAGAAATGAAAAAAAAAAAAACAAGCAACCCACATTTAATACGCATTCAAACATTAAAAAATAAAAACAAAAAAGGAAAATAAGCTGTTGTTTACTCTTGAATTCCAAAGTAAATGTGGAACACAAAGCAAGTATAACACAATTAAATCTAACATTACATTTTAACTAGACATCAAGGAGAGCATTGAAAAGAAAGAATTATCAGTTTGCTACAAACTCTTGACAATAAAGATCAATCAATATTTCATCTTTTTGTCAATATATCTATTTTGGATTTGATTTTTTATATTACCAAATCATACTTTCAGATGAGTATTTTGTTAATTTCTCCAGATATAAAAAAAAAAAAAAGAAATGAATATATTTTTATTATTTTTGAATGGTATAATCTATGAGGTGAACACAACTTATTACTTTGGATCTTTCTGGTATGTTTCTGCTGTAAAACTAGCCCAGTAGGAAGTCTGCTCCCTGCAATTTGCCTCTTCCCCTATGAAAATGAATTTAGTATACAATTTCTTACTTGTGGCTCCAATAACTTAAATCCTTCTCATTCAAAACACTCATACCCCGTGTATATGTATATATATATATATATATATATATATAAATATATATATATATATATATATATATATATATATATATATATATATATATTATATATATTTATTTAGTGTGTCAAACCTGCTTCAGTACAGATGCAAAAGAGGCCTCGGATCACCTGGGGACACGTTTGTCAAGACCAGTTACCTCCAGGTTTTTCCCCATTAACAGCAGGACAGTTTGGCATGTCCAGATACAGGCCTCTCTGTAACTGATCAAGATCCTGGTATGATGCCTCATACTATTAAAAGCAAGGGAAAACCAGCAGTTGGCATTTGGAAAGACAGTGCCTTGTGAAGTCAGATCCTGTGAGCATTTTGTTCTTAAAGTTGCTGTGATTTCTGAGGCAGTGTTATTTTTGTGACCACCAATCTCTTTCCCGTCTCTGCCTATTAACCCTCATAGTTGTTGGAAGGGTAATCAGATTTTTCCCCCAACTTCAATGCATTCTTGCTGCACATTACAACATTTAGCAATCAACCTTTCTTAGTTTGGATATGTAGAATAATTTTCCAAGAATTCTCTCAAGTAATACATGATTCAATTACAAATGTATGAGTTAAAGCTTCATAATCATTAAATGCTAACTCAAAAACATTAATGCAATCATGCCATTGCCTCATGTCAGAAATTTAGACAAAACATTAAGCCTTCTACATTCATGATTTACAAAAAAAATGTAGAGACAGCAGATAATTATTTTAATAGTCATTTAGTGAATCAACAAATGTTATTAAATCAATTATTTTTTAAAGTTGGCAGAAATGAACTGGGGGGGTAGTAAGGGGACAAAAACATGACACATAAGAGAATATTTCTTGTTGCCTGACAACCAACAATGGTGATAAAGTAGTTTTAACAGTTTTTTTTGTTTCTTTTGATACAAGTGTTGCAAAATCAAAAAGTAAAATATTTGTTAAATAATAGTTTCTATTAATTTTTAGTGGCAATGTATTTTGGCTCAGACCTTCTGAGGCTGACCCTTAAGGTCAGATGGTAGGAAGACAAAGGAAGTCATTTTTGATTGGTTAAAACTAGCATGAGAATGTTAGATAGAAAGTGATTTCAGGGAGTTAAGTTTCAACACATCATACACCATCAACATGGTTATTTCATGTGTCAGGGGACTTTCTCCTCAGTGGGGGGGTGATAGAGTGACCCCACTGGCTAGTTAAAAATGTACACATTGATGTGCTTAATAAATTAGAGTTTAAAATCCCTTTTGTTGAAGTTCTCTTTCATCTCCAGACTCCAAAAACATTTTGACACACGGCCGGGAAAAGACAAATGAGAGAAGATACAATGTTATTATTGTAACCTAGGAAAAGGTTACTGAATAAGAATAAATAAAACTAAGGTTGGAAATTGAACGATAATATTTATAACAGGAACAACATACAAGATTCGCTAATAGCATGTAGTAATTAATCAAATTCTAGTGGTGAGCTACAAGTGAATCAAGGTGAAATCTAAGTGAATCCAACATACAGTATATTCCACTGTATTTATAAGGATAGGGACATACCCATTATAGACTATGGGTACGGTATATCAGTTATGAAATCAACCCTGCTGACGAAGACCTCCCTAGAATGAGGGGGCTATGCAATATATTAGCTAGAGTCATTTTTCTTACTACAAATTGCAATAAAACAATCACTTTCTGGCTCATTTTTTTTGTTAAAATCCTCTCTGCATCTCAAAGTTGTGGTAAAGGAAAGATGGAAAATCAAGTGTTATTCTTAACACATTTGGCACTACCTTGGATATTGGAATCTTTACATAAAGACATCAATTACAATCTGATATATAAGACTAAACAGGCTTTATTTTGGTAGAAATTGAATGAAACTGATAGTAACAAACATCCTTAGCACTGAATTTCTTTTCCTCCAGTGATTTAGCATTTAATTTCTGAGAGGAACAATAGCAGTTATTATTTGTTATTTAATAAAAGTAAATTGACAATTACTCATCTCAGAAATGAGATAAAAAATTATGAAAAGTGATAAAAACCCAGCATGATAACCAAATGCCAAAACTATCTGACACTGAATATAAAGGCTCCAAAAAACATGATGTCCATGATGGTGGCACAGTGGATATAGGTGTTGGTTAGACGTGTTACTTTCATCTAGTGGTTGTGCTTCCAATACTTGAATAAGGCAGTGAAACATTGGTTCAGCAGGAATGAACAATAACTGGTATCATGAGCATAAAATAACACAATCAACAAATATGATTGCCAGGGAATATTTGGCCAAAAGATTGTGACTATAATAACATCTATATCAACCAAAATGAGAACAATAGTTCAAAATTATAAAAGTAGGATGAAATTAGTATTTCATTTCAGAGAGGAGTAATGTCAATATATTTGTATTATTTTGAACTATTGTTCTCATCTTTTTTTTTTATTTTTATAAGCATTTCACCCCAAGCAAGGCTGGAAGCCACTAGCATGCAAAGGGTTACATAGAATTTGGAGCAAGAGGATGAAGAGAAGGATAGTGGATAGATCAAGGCAACTGGAGATGTCTATTGACATTACATTTGAATAGTTGGAGATTATAGCTATCAAAGAAACAGGAAAAGGGAAGGGAGCTCTACAGGTGAGAGGTGTGAGATATGAAGCTACTGGAGTAGAAGAGACAGTTTCAACAGTGAAAGGGTGAGAGCGGGATGCCAGCCTTGTAGGACGCTTGAATTCATGAAGCCTGGGAACTAGCGAAAGCAACTTATCGGAGCAATTACCATGAAAGTATTTGTAAAAAAGACAGAGAGAGGCAACATCACGTCTCTGAGAGAGCGACTGGTCAATATAGATGTTTCAATCAAGTGCCTTCTGGTTATCATCAGGTTGTGTCTATAATAACACCTATATCAACCAAGATGAGAACAGTCGTTCAAAATAATACAAGTATATTCACATTTTGTGACTTGTGGCCCTTTTTTTTCAAGAAGGTAGAAAAAAAATCACTGAGAATAGCTATGTCTTCACTGCTATTTATATTGCGTTAAAAAAATGCAGGAGGGATGCAAATGTGCATCAGAGGCAATATACAACATGCCACGAGATGTATACATGTGTTGAATGATAATAAACATATCTTTGACATAAAAAGGATTTTCAGTTGATCTCAAAAAGCATAACATTATTGTTTGGTAAATTAATGATCAATTGGTGAAAAATTCTGTGTGTCACGTTTAATCCTTTATGACTTTATCAGAGTAAATTAATGATTTTGTTGATGAAATTATATATGTGTGGGAAGGTGAATATAAGATCACAAACATTGATTATAGTTATGCAGACAGAAAACACTAAAAATGCTGAAATTTTAAACTTTCAAATTTAAATTGTCTTTTTTAAAATGTGTCTGGGTATGTAGTCTTGCCAATTTAATTCAATTTGCTTTTATTGCTTTTATTATCTCACATTGTGATAAAAGAAAATCTGCCAAAACAGGTGAAATTTCATGTGGATGATCTAGCAATCAAAGCACTTCCTATACACTTTAGCCCTGGTAAATTGCTTTCTCTTTCTTTCAGTTCGACATTCCAACCACCTGAAGAAGACCGGAGTGTAAAACGGCTGAAACATTGTAATAAATAGGGTGACAAAGATGAGGACAATAGTCCGAATAATGTAAATAGTGTACATAATACCTCATCTCAGAAATATAGACAGTTGCTTTCTCTTTTATTATTTTAAGGTATTTATTTTCTTCAATTTTTTTCTTTCCTTGAATTTTGATGTTCAAGTACTAGTAGACATAGACTTAAGTTGTCTAAATTTCAAATGCAAGCAAGACAATTAAACGTAGCCTTACAACTCAACAGCCAATTTCTTTGAATGTCATTAGGATCTAGAGATTGATAGCATCCTTTACAGTGGTATGCAGGAGTCCAAAACCTTGAATCACTCATTCAAAATTATGAGGAGAGACCAACAGCAATCAGTGCTAATTAGTTCCTTTTTACATCAAAGAAATTTCAGCTTGCAATCATATTTTGGTTTTTGTTCATTTACACATCTCACATCTACCCATGTCTGTTTATCCATTCTCCAACTCTCCTGTAGTAAACTAAGGGGAAATGTCTGCTTCTTGTCTCTTCTCTCTGACAACTTCTTGTAAACTGCCCCCCCCAACACCCACTTTAGTTGGTTCATTTAGTTTATATGAGACGTCTCATCTTCGCTTGTCACCAATGATGTAGTGATACAATTTGACCAGTAACTTTACAAGCATATGGCCTGTACTTATTTCACTAGCTTTTTGATATGATGCAATTATTTTTTTTATGGGTTATCAACCCTTTTTGGGTTATTTAAAGCCAAAACATATTTTGGATAAAATGAAATTGCTTACAGTACTTGGTGTTCCCAAGTGGTCTCCCATCTAAGTACTAACAGGGCTCAACACTGCTTAACCTCAGTAATCAAACAAGAACTGGTATTTTCAGTGTGGTTTGACCATAAGCTAGCTTTTTGACAATGGGATTTTCTGAAAACCATTCTTCCCATAAGAACAACAGTGAGTATGTATTTATGTTAAATTACATGAACCATTGGTTTTAGTTTATTTCTTTTTGAAAACTCTTTCCTCTGAAATTATTCTGCCTATGAAACTGTGGATGTGAATGTGGTGCAAGGCCGAAAGTATGGAGTACTCAATGAGGATCAAACTCACTATTCAGTTGTAATTGATCTAATGAGACAAGCTCCTTAACCATTACTCCATGTCAAAGTGCCCAACCAATCAGATGCATAGGTCTTTATGTAAACAACTTTGTCTCACTGGGTTTTATTTTGCAAAACAATTTAATACTAAACTCCTGGTGATTAGGGAATTGTACAAGTAAAAATGAAATTAACTTTATATTTTAAATGGACTTGGGTTTAGCTAATTACAGAATAGTTTCCCTTTATTTTCAAATAATCATAATATTAATCAGTGAATTGACATCAAGATGAAGTGTTGTCTTTGACAGTCTTTGAACAAGTAATTCATAAGATATCCTACATATCAGACAGGTTCCCAAAGATACAGTGTGAGAATTCATATCTTATAGGAAGCCATTTCTTTAGTTGTAATCCAAGCTATTTACTTTATGCTCATAGTATGTAAAAAAAAAAAAAAAAAAAAAGACCTGAGCATTTTGGTGAATAATTAAAAACTTAAATATAATGAAACAAAAGCTAATGTTTTAAAAATTAATAATGATAATGCTTCATCCAAAAACAATTCAGACAAATGAACACAATTCCTACTACATGACTACTGTTGAGAAGTAAGTGTACTCAAATTTAACTAGATCTTAAGTAATTTCGCTACTGATATCAGTGTGACTAAAAAAAAAATGGGAAAATATTTACATTAAACAAAAAGAGTTACTAGATACATTATTTTATACTATATTCAAGAATTAGATTAATTACATTGAAATGTCTTTCCTGTTTATTAATTAAAGAAAAGCATCAAAATTTTAAGCAAATATTTAAATAATTTGAGTACTACATCTTCAGCAAAAATTAAGCAACCTGAGTAAAAGTTATTGCTTATGACAAAAAAAAAAAAAAAAACTGCCAGCACACCATGTAAGTCAAAACAAATGCAGAAACAATGAAGAAAAAAATATCTACATTAAAAAAAAAAAAATGGGAGACTGAAGACTTTATATGATAAAAATACAAAATAAATATGGGTCTTTACTTACTCCTGAGCTGAAAGACACGTGGAGAACATGATCCAAATATTAAGTAAATAACACTTAAAAGAAAGTAAAAATATGTCCACGATGATCTGGTATTTCTGAAGTAATTTAAGTACATCACACCTGTTGCTGTGCAAGCCTAAATAACTAAAGCATACACACACACACACACACAATATATATATATATATATATATATATAATGATAATGATGATAAGAATTGGTGAAAACAAAGCTAACACTAGTTCTGTATACTATCATCAACAGTAGCAACACTAGTACGGCTTAAGTCCATCTGGTACAGTAGTTGAAGTTAGCTAGTCATCTTCCCATCTGTCACAAACATACGAAACAGAACAGACTACTTCCACTGGGCACAAGCCATGGTGTCATTGCTAGCAGGAAAAAAAAAAAAACAACAAAGGAAAGAGTGGTATGAGCACCATGTGGTATTGATTGATGAGGGTGGCAATCAGGGTTGCAGTGGTCCTGGGTGTCAACTACCCAGAGCAGACTAAGCGGAGACAGCAGATTAGATCTACAAGATATATTTAGATCATCTTGTGAGTGCAGAAGTCTTACAAAGTTCAATGAAAAAATAACAAATAAAGCTAGAAATGAAACTGAAAATTGTTCAATTGTACCAGATGCTTAGCTGAAAGAGATATATTAGGTATGTGTAAAAGTTCACAGCAAGTTTTTGTTTATTTTTTATTTTTTTTTGGTGAGGGTGAGGAACTAAAGGAAAGCCTTTTCTTTCTTTCATTTTTTTTTTTTTTTGTTTTTTTTTTTCTCTCCCACTAGAAAATTTTGCACAAATCTAATAAATAAGGAGAAAATATTAAAAATAGAAACCATCATATTTGCCGGCCTATTAGAAGCACCCAGATTTTGGCATGGAATATTTAGGGAAAATAAATGCAAACTTTACAACCAAAAAAATCAAAATTATAACCTAACCTTGATGTGATATTCTCACTAACCATAAAGAAACACTTACAGTATTAGCACAAATTATATTACTGGTACTTTTTTTTTTTTTTAATAGAAGTGAGGTAAGATTTAATTACCAGGACATTTTTTTGAAAAGAAGAATTTTAGTACATTTCATCACGTATTTATTGAAAATTGTTTTACTTGTTTTTGAGGCAGCAACATCTGCACATACAGTGAATTCATAATAACTACAAAGAAATCTACTCAAATCAGTGAACACTGGTATATATGGTAATACACAAAAAAAAAACCCCAGAAATATGGTACTTGTTCGTAAATGAAATCCCATACTATACATTCAGAAAAGAAAATTCCAATACATGTATATCAACAAAAATATATACAAAACAAGCAACGATATACTCATCAAAGCAAATATTTATGTAAAATCTGAAAATCTGGGATTTCTACAAGACAAGCAGCAATATACTCGTCAAAGAAAATATTTCTGTAAATCTGAAAATCTGGGATTTCTACAAGACAAGCAGCAATATACTCGTCAAAGAAAATATTTCTGTAAATCTGAAAATCTGGGATTTCTACAAGACAAGCAGCAATATACTCGTCAAAGCAAATATTTCTGTAAAATCTGAAAATCTGTGATTTCTACAAGACAAGTAGCAATATACTCGTCAAAGCAAATATTTCTGTAAAATCTGGGATTTCTACAAGACAAGCAGCAAAATATTGTGCAATTCCATAAATTTCTTAATTTCTTTTTCTTTGGTGAATTTTTCAGGAATATTTTTTTTGATATTATATTTGTTCACTACCAGGAGTCCTAGTTTCAGAGCTAATCTCTGTGTGTGCGCTTGTTCTTGGTGAGACCCACTTTTTTCATGGTCTTCATGTCACTCTCATACATTATATTGGATGCAGATTAATCTTTTGGTGTTTATTTTTGGAAAAAATTTGCATCCAATAGGTCAGCAAATATGGTATATCATAACAATCTTCTTATTTTAGCAAAATAAAACCGTTATCTTTCATACATATCCTAATAACCTGCACTTTGGAATACCAGGTGCTGTAAGTTTGGATGTAAGTGTGGAGTAATGGATAATGGCTCTGAATTATTAATCATAGAGTCGAGTTCCAATTCCTGTTGGGTTCGTTATAGTCACTCATGCACAAATACCCTTAGGAAAGGTATGAATCCACCTCTTCTCCCACTAGATATGGGTTAATTAGTTAGTAAGACTTGTACCACTATATTATTATTATCTCCAAGATAAAAACAAAAATTCTGATAAATATTTCCTGGCTTTAAATAACCTGCAACAATTGATAAGCCATAGAAAATGAATCAATCAAAAACAAATAACAACCTACACTTCTTACTCTCTCTTGTTACATTCATACAACAAACTCATACAGTGACTACCTACCCTGCATGATTCTTAGACCTTGTAATAAATGATCAATACGTTTAAAAGAAAAAAAAAAGAAAGAAAGAAAATTGAAGGATGAGAGTACTGTGCATTAATTATTTCATAAGATATAAAGTATCAGAAGAATTTCAACAGAATTAAAGAACAAATGAGAATCATGGGAATGCCATTCTGTTTTAGAATCTCTTTGTAGACAATTCTGCATAATGGTTATTATGGAAGGGAATTCAGGATATGATGTGTCATTTTTAGGTTGATTGCTGTTTATGTTTAAGTTTAAATGCCCGGACATGATCTTAGATACTGAGAGCCAATTCCATGCTTTGTAGAAAAGTAAAGAATGGGGTCAAAAAAGCAAAAAGAAAAGAGAAAAACTTGAAGCAAAACAGGAAGAAAAATATTAAAGGAAGAAACATAAAATATAAGGACATAGAATAATGAGAAATTAACCCCCTAGATAGAGCCTTAGATATTTACAATAGTATGCATGGAAACAATATCCACCTTTTTTGATAGGCTCTTTCTTATTTCACCGACAATAACAGATAACAGTAGCAGCAGGCTGAAGTGTACATTGAAATAATTCCTAGTTCTGCTTACACCTGGAGCCCCTACAGTGTCATTTCATTTAATTTTGTATGTTTCTGAGGAGGCACAGTGGAGTAATGGATAGGGGCTCAGATTGAGGAATTGGAGAGGTGAGTTCAAATTCCAGTCAAATCCATTACATTCACTTACATGCCTTAGGAAAGCTATGAATCCTCTTCTCTCCCCATCTATGGGTAAATAGCAGGACAGTTCTATAGCCTTGGATGACAACTGGTCTACTGCAGAAAGAAATGGCAACCAACTGTGGGGAAAAATCTGCTTTGTCAGTCATGTATCTTTTGATACATGATCGCCTAAGCATGTATCACATATAGCACATAACTGGCTGATGTTTCTGTAATCATTATATAGATGGCAGCATAATTAACCTTTAGCACTCTGCATTATTAATATTACTTCTTTTTCCATTTTTTTTTCAAGGTCTCTCAATTGCAGTATCCTTAAAGTTCTTTTCTGCTGCCATAGCAGGATATGACAACACAACTATGAAATTCAAACACACTATTTTTGAGGGATTAGGGTCACCTTCAATGGCAGGATAAACTTTTTGTACAGCAAATAAAATCACATACAGAATGATAAAGGTTAACCCATTAATGATCCCCATAAAAATTAGGTATTAATTAGAAAAATTAAAATAAAAATCCAATAGGATGGATATGTGAAAAAATTTAGTATTAATTATACGTTTTCACCTATAACCCATTAATGAGTAAAACTTAAGGTATAATTTTAATTATTTTGCAAGTGATACACACTATAGTGCAA